AACCCAAATACCTATACTTTCTACTTCTTACATGTTGAACACAAATACCTGTACTTTCTACTTCTTACATGTTGAACTCAAATACCTGTACTTTCTACTTCTTACATGTTGAACTCAAATACGTGTACTTTCTACTTCTTACATGTTGAACTCAAATACCTGTACTTTCTACTTCTCTCATTTTCCAAACAGGCTGGTTCCTTTAGTTTGAATGTGTGTTTGGTGGCGTGATCATTATTATTTAGAGTCATTGCGTGCCTATTGATTTGAACACGATCCGTGTATCCATCATTTCCTGGTCTTCTCTAAAGAAGAGGGACCAATGAAAACGTTGTCATGTTGCCGTTGTTCAGCATGGAAACATTCATTAGCTAACAATGACATTATTGTTCTATTAATATAAAGGGAGGTCAGGTACTCTTTAAAACAGCTGCTAGTTATGGGTACTTTTTACTGAAGTACATTTCAAAGCCTCTTTACTTTCACTTGAGTAAAGAAGTTTAGTCAGTACTTCTACTTTTACCAGAGTATTTTTAAACACGAGTATCTGTACTTCTACTTGAGTGAAGGATGTGTGTACTGTACTCTCTGTGTGCAGGGCAGCTTCTACGTGGCCAGTGAGCACTGCCTGCAGAGAGCTCACTCGTGGCACCGCAGGCTGTGCCGCCTCCTGCTGGCGGCTCTCGACGGTCTGACCTCGTACCACTCTGCTCTGAGGAAGGAGATCCCAACGCTGCCGCACACTCTGCACTCAGGTGACCATGATAGATATGATTATTTGTCTTTAAAACATTTCTTCAAATTCAATTAAAATGCCTGAAATCCCTCTACTACAGAAGTATGTTCAACTTATTTGTTCATTGCCTTTACATACATCAATCCTGGGCATGGTTAGAAGCAGTTGTAGTATTCACACATTTTTTTCTTCAGTAAAAGTAAAAATAAAAAAAGTGTAATAATATCATTAATAATAAGATTTACACATTATGTTATAATGATTGCTTTTCCACCACTGGTTAACATCACACAATTTAATGTTCAATAAAGTCATTTCATTTTTATGGTTTTACTATTCAACTCCAAATATTATTAGATTATATTTTGTATGTGTGCTTTTGAATTCATGACCTTTAGTTCCGTTTTAATAAGTGTTAATATCAAAATACAATAAATATGACTGTCTTTAAATCACAGTGTCCTTTGCACTAAACTATTTTCAATGTTTTCCCCCAGAGGAGCTTCTTGTAGAAGAAACTCTGAGTCGCCTCACACAGGAGTTACAGGTACGTTCATTCAACACCTTAAAGCCTCTATAGTGGCCTGCGATGAAGTCAGATGATAACTTTATTTGAACATTGTTTTCTGTAATAATTTGAAACTATATTGTTATCCTTCTTTTTTCAGTTTTCAAATTGAAAGTAAAGATGTTTGGTTTACCGTGCAAAAATACGTTTTTTTCTAAGCTGTACGACAGAATATTTAGACAGCTTAGCCATTGTTATAGGTTTAAGGCAGGGGTCGGCAACCCGCGGCTCTGTAAGCTCTCTGCTCTGGCTCCCTTGAGCTGCCTTAGACATAGGAAATAAAATAAAAGTATTTGTAGGATCATTTAAATGTTGTTGCATGGTTGAAAATGTTTCGTATCTTGTATTTTGAGGTGATACAAGATAAAAACAAAACGGTTTTAATTAGGTCAACTAAAATATGCGTCATATTCTGCTACGGTCCCGCGCCAGCGCCTTTTCTTGCAGGCGAATAACCTGACCCCCAGCTCGATGAGCGAACTATGGATAAATTAAAGAAAAGAAAAGTATCGGAAGAACACAGGGTTTAATTCTGCGTGGACAGAGTTATGCTTTCACGGCAAACAATGCTGGTTTACTGGTATGTTTGATATGTAGAGAGAAGTTCTCAAGTGCTGTGTTTAATTTATTTTGAAGTAGGCCTGTGTATTCTTTTTTTATTCTCCTTATAAGAGTTCTTTGTACTCAATGTTATAATGTAATAAATAATAAATGCAAAAAAACTGTAGTTTTGGTTTTAAATTGTTGGAAAAGGGGGCAAAATGGCTCTTTTGGTCAAAAAGGTTGCAGACCCCTGGTTTAAGGGAACAGATATGATCACAATACGTTCTTAGATGAGTAAAACTTAAAGAAAAATAAATATTATCAGTGGAATTGTTTTATTTGTGATTGCTCGATTTCAATGCAACTTTTACTATATTTATTTGTTACCTTTTTTTACTTCGTCTGTAAAGCGACTTTGAGCACCTGTAAAAGCGCTTGCAAAATACATTTATTATTATTATTATTATTATTATTATTAAGTGAGACATTAAACTTACATTTCTTAAAACATGCGTCAATAAATATGTTTCAGATGTATTTTAGGACTGGTATGATGGCCCTTCTGCTCTAACCGGCCTTTCGAACAGCGAGGGTTTATTGATCGATGAGTCCAACATGACTTTTCTAAACTGATCCAGAGTCAGGCAGACTGCAGACTCCACATTGTCTGTAGGATCCCAGAATAGGAGGCTATATTTCAGGAAGTGTGACGCATTCAGTCTGATGTTATCTCTGTTTCTGACCCCTCCGTGTGTCTCTCAGCTGCAGGAGGTCCATGACGGGGTGGCGGAGCAGATCAGCCGGGACGTGAGCCAGCTCTGCTCCCAGCTGGCGGCCCTGTGGAGCAACTTCCTGCTGAACGCTGTGCTCAACCCCCACATCCTGTCCTATCTGGCCCAGGAGCATCACACACTCAGGGTGAGAGGGACTGCATTCACACACACACACACTTATACACATCTCTCAGACTACAGGGACTGCATCCACACACACTTATACACATCTCTCAGACTACAGGGACTGCATCCACACACACTTATACACATCTCTCAGACTACAGGGACTGCATCCACACACACTTATACACATCTCTCAGACTACAGGGACTGCATTCACACACACACACACTTATACACATCTCTCAGACTACAGGGACTGCATCCACACACACTTATACACATCTCTCAGACTACAGGGACTGCATCCACACACACTTATACACATCTCTCAGACTACAGGGACTGCATTCATTCACACACACACACACACACACACACACACACACACACACACACACACACACACACACACACACACACACACACACACACACACACACACACACACACACACACACACACACACACACACACACACACACCTCTCAGACTACATGGACAAGCATTCATT